GAAGGTGAGGCTTCGGTGGGAGCTTCAGATCCTGAATGCCAGGCTAAGGAGAGAGCACAGGCTTTGGAGTCCAGCAGACATAGGTTCAAATCCTGGCTCCACCATGTCCCATGAGACAAGCCACACGGCCTTCCAGAGCCTCAGTTTCCCCGTCTATGAACAGTGATAGTTGTACCAACTTAGCATTGCTGTGCAGTTTAAATAAGATAGCATCTGGCAGCAGCTCAGCTCAGTGCCTGGTGCCCAGTAGGGGCTTGTTAAGTGCTGGGTGTCAGTAATGCTGTGTTGATGGTGGGGAACCATGAACGGTTTTGAGCTGAGGACAATGTTCTGGGGGCATCTGGGTCAGGAGAGCATCTCCCCAAGTACATTTCAGGCAGAGATGAACAGAAAGCCCCTGTGTGTATGGATTCCTGTAACTGGGTCCTACTCACTAGTCCCAGAGGGCAATTTCCTTCCTTCCCAGCATAAATATTATAGGCAAGTATTTTTAAATCATTTCATCATGAAAAGAAGCGATTTAACATAACTATTACACAAGATTCTTCATGAAATATGCATCAAGCAATTAGGTCTAAAAGCGAGAGGTGAGGCCTCGCACTCTGCTCGGCGGCCGGCAGCTGGGCGCTGAGTGATGTTTTATTAAAGCCCATGATTATGAGGCGAGGTGGGGCCTGTTATTAGGCGGCGTGCCAGGCACATTTGATAATCCTGGTGATGAGGAGGTGCTTTTTGTGATGATAATGAGCTATCTGGATGCTGTGACAGCCCCAGCACCCCTGGCCTCCCCAGTCTTAAATGGGAATCGTTAGGTCACCCACCAGAGATGCCCCTAGTTGTGACTTTGCTCTCGCAAGATGTCCTATCAAAGGAGACAGGGCTGCCGCAGGAGCTTGGCAGGTGGCAGGAGTGTGGCCCCCGTCGTCAGCAGCAGCATCCGGTCAGAGCTCCACAGGGACCCATGCCTTCCTAGAGCGATGGTGGTGCTGCTGCTGCCGTATAGGGGTATGAGGAGGCACCGGCCGGAGCCCAGTGTACCTGGCCCTGGATACATGGGCCTGGGCTCTGCTGCACCTGCAGCCCCCCTTGCGATGTGCCTTGGGCCAGGATGGTACACTCTGTCTGGCCTCAGTTTCCTCCAAGGTACCTCGCGGAGTAAGAGGAGATGACCCCAGGCCGCTTCTAGCTCCAAAAGTGTTCGGAGCAGACCCCACATCCCTGAGCACACTCCTTATCTGGTGCACGCCTCTGTGCACCACAGAAATTTTAAGTTCTTTTTATGCTGGCATCTTCTTTTGTGTGGAGTTGGGAGTCATTAAAGCCATCCTGGCAGCTGCTTTTAAATCTTCCGCTATTGCTAGGTGGCATCTTGCTCGTGGGAACCTTGCAACCAGTCAGGATGTGTTATTACAGCAGGTCTTGGGTGTGTGTGGACAAGGCATCCCTGACCCTTGCATTGGTGGGCATTGACAGTCTTGGGACCTGAGAACCCCTTATGGTGAGGTCATCACCCTGCCTTCTGTCTAGGGGCTCCGGCGGGTCCCTCGGACGGCCCCTGTGTGTGTGCCACAGGTGGCTTTTCACCCACAGCCTGTCTGCTGTCTGATCTACCATCAGCTCTGCGCAGTGGGCACCGTGGAAGTTGAGGCTCAGCGTGGAGGAGACATTTGCTCAGGGTCTGACACCTCCTGCCTGCCACCCTGCCTGCCTCACGTGGAACACTGAGGGTTCAGTAGGGCCCTCTCCTGGGTCTAGAAAATGCTGAGGTCAGGAGCACCACAGGCTCGCCGGGGAGGGAATCAGGCACTGCTGCGGCTGACTGTTGTGTGGCCTTGGGCCGTTCACCTCCACTGTGTGTGCCTCAGTGCTTCACAACATAGGGCCTGGCTCACAGGAAGTGCCCAGAAAACACTGACCCCAAAGGCGATCCTGGCTGGTGCCCCAGTGAGGGCAGCAGTGGAGGGAAGGGGTAGAGCTGCCTCCAGACCCCTTCCTGCAGGAAGCCCTCAGGACTAGACAGCAGATTACATTCACACACAGGAATCCAGGACGTAGGGCTGAAAGCATCCTCAGAGGCCTAGAAAGCCACCCCATGGGTCCAGCGGGCAGGCAGGGGCAGAGCCCAGCAAGGCATAAGAATAGCCTGAGGGCCAGAGAACCACGGGGGGCAGTGCTTAAGCCCAGGAGGGTCAGCGTGTGGGCCCTTCTCCATCTGCCCGGGAGTGCTCAGGCCACAGGCGAGGAGGTTATGGGGCCTGAGCTCTGGTCCCAGCTGTGCCTTGGTCTCAGCTTCGTGACCAGCCTGCCCCCTCGGCACTGCCTGGTTCAGGGTGATACACCGTCGGGTGCTTAAATAGGTGAGCTGGATGTCAGGGTTGAGGGACAGACAGCGGGCCGGGCACGTCAGGAGGGACTTAAGGGAGGCGTCTGGGCTCATCTCAGCCTGGCAGCCACTCGCCTCACTATATGTCAGCAGCCGGGGTGGAGATGACAGTGCGTAGCTTTTAATACCTGGTGGCCATTCCAAGCCCGTGGCCTGGGAACGGAGGAGCTTCTGCCTCCACTTCTGGCTCTGTCAGAGCCATTGCTGCCCACTTTCCTTGCTGAGTGGTATAAGAACAAACCAGCGTGAAAGTGTCACATTAACCTGCATGGGTTCCTTTCCTTAACCTCCTTGAAAATGAAATCTGCCTTCCCACAGCGCAGAGCTGTGACCCTCTTTCTTACATGTCCTCTGATTCCCTCCCCAAGCTGTAGATCTGTGAGAATCACAGCCTGACAGCCTGGCACCCAAATGTCACCCCACTCAGTGCATGTGCCCAAGGTCCCACCTTGGGACCTTGGAGGAGTCCAAGGCTCCTCCCTGCTTTCTGCTCACACACACCCTCCAGGCAGAGCTGAGCCGTGGCCTCCGAGACTGCGTCCCGCTGTTCTCTCAGCCACGCGCTTTCAGCACATCGTTTAACAATCCCCGTCCTTTCCATGCTGGCTCAGATTTGTGGTCTCTCGTGCGCGGTGGGCAGATGAGTGCTCACTCAAATGGGGCTTTACATTTTTCATTTAACACGTACACACCGTTTCCTTTCTGAGGCCTAAGCAAGTGCACATCCTACTTCTCAGACACGTCGAGGCAATTCTCCGATGAAATGACCCTTTACTGAGGAGAAGAACTTGCCACAGGCTCTGTAATTAGAACATTACCAGCCTTTAAAAATCTTGATTTAAATTTCAATTCTTTACAGGAATTATTCTCTCTTGAAACATAATTGCTCTCCAAACGATTTCCTTTAAGCCGAGGGTGACATCTCTAAATACATTATTATGAGCAGATGTAGTGCTCGGTGCCCGCACTTCATTAAGCATTTGTTCTGCCCATTTGAAAATGATCCTGGAACCCAAATTAAGGTATTACTAGAGCGGGCGCTGGTAAGCTTGGGGAGCCAATTCTGCATGGAGGAGGTGTGTTTAAGCCCCCCAGGGTCCCGTGGGAGCAACAGAAGTGAGAAGAGGAGTTTGAACCCAGAAGGGCCCCAAACCTCCCACGTCCACATGGACCCCTCAACCTCGCTGGGAATGGGCTGTGGTCTCCTGAAACCCAGGCTCCTAGAGCTGTTCATAGTTAACAGTGCCCAGGGACAGGCCCTGGAGATGGTAGCAGGAGGTCGGTCGGAAGCCCCGGCTTTCTAACTAAGTGACAAATGTGCTTTGGAAACTAAAGCATCCGCGGATGTGGTGGTAGAATCATAATAGAATCCTAACAGGCCAGGCTTGGCGCTGAGTGGGCAGGGAAAGGGTGTCCTGGCAAAGGCAGGTTGATGGAGGTGAGTGACCTAGTGTGGCTGGAGCCCTGGGCATGAGGTGGCAGAGGTTTGCTGGGTCAAGCAGGTGCTGGCAGGAGGGCCGTGGCTTTTGCCACCTAGCATGCTGATGTGGGGCAGGCTGCAGAGGCCACAGGGGGACACAGGTTCTGCTCTGATCTCCAAGGACCCATCGCTGCCCTTCTCAGTAGACATTTCAGGGACTCCTCTCAGGCAGGCCTGAACCTAGGCAAGGTGGGCACAGAGACTGGGTCCTGCTCGTGGCACTCCCTGGGGAACTGGGAGGGTGCTAAGTAATTAAATTCAGAAAGGCAAGTGCTGATGGAGGTGTGAGTGTCCCCAGTACAGTCAGATGAAGGAAGGAGCCCATGGGAGCCTGGAAGAATGCCTGGCAAAGGAAACACAGCCAGGCCTTAAAGAGATGGGGCTTGCTGAGAGGAAGGAAGCAGTCTAGGGCATGCCAGGAAAGAGCACATTCTGCCCACATTCCATTGGCTGAAACCAGTCCCATGGCTAACTGGGTGCAAGGGAGGCTGGGAAATGCAGTCCCTGGCTAGGTGGCCCCTTCCCAATAGATGGTTGCCAACTATTGAAGGGGGAAAACAGCTCACCTACCTTCCCTGCCACTCTGTTTCCTCATTTGTAAACGGGATGATGACCCTGCCCACTTGTCATGGTATCAGGAACATGAACACACTTTGTGGAAGCAAGGCTTACACAGGCACCTTGCATCAGTATTAGGAAGAGGGCTGAGTTTTGTTTTGGTTTGGTTTGGTTTTTTTCCTGGATAAGCCCCCAGAAGCTCTTGGTGTTGGAAGACTCCTGCAGCAGTGGTTGCTGCTGATTCCTGGTCAGGTGCTAGAATTGGGGGTGCCCTTGGGTGCAGCTGCATTTCAGCTGGTCCTGGGCCTCGATGCTGCCTTGGAGAGGGGCAACTCAGGGCTGCTTTGTGTCTGTGCTCGCTTCTGTCCCAAGCAGCCACGCTAGCAGGAATCTGGCCTCGGCCTTAGTGCCAGAGGAGCAGTTCTCCTGGGAAACAAGTGTGAGCACAGGCCACTCTCTGCTCAGAATGCACTTGAGTGGCTCTCTGACAAAGGGCTTCCCTGCTCCGCGGCCCCAGCAGTGGGGCAGTCTCAGCCTTTGCCAGTCGCCAGGTCCTAATAACCTCTGTTTTGTTCACAGGAGCAACCAGGGTTTTATGCACATGAAACTGGCCAAAACCAAAGAGAAATACATTCTGGGTCAGAACAGTCCCCCGTTCGACAGTGTCCCAGAAGTCATCCACTACTACACCACCAGAAAGCTACCCATCAAAGGGGCCGAGCACTTGTCCCTCCTCTACCCTGTGGCTGTGCGGACCCTGTGAGCGGACCAGCCCTGCCCTGCTCTGTGACAGAGCCCAAGACTCGGAAGAGCCGAGGCACCCACCGACCAGCCCGGCCACTGCTGCCAGTCATGTCCAGTTTGTGTCGTGTGTATGGTACTAGCACACCACTGCATGTCTCTAGAATGCTGTTGCCCCTTCTGGGGGCTGGAAAGGCCTGGATAAAGACCGAGGGAGGCCCACGCACCACCCCAGCCCCCACCCCAAACCCCTCCTTGAGTTTCTGTGAGTTAAAATATTTGCAAATCCAAGAGATGCCTTCCAGGGTGAACAGAGGCACTGCGGCTCCGCGGGTGGGGCAGGAGCTCCCTGGGTTGCATCTCTTTGTTCTCCAGCTGTCACGGATTCACACCTGTGTAGGGACAGAGTTTTCCCACGGGCCCCACTGGGGCTGGGAGCCAAATGCTGGCACTTCAAGAGCCCAGGAGGCCCCAGGGTCCCGCCCTCACCCTGGTGTGAGAGTGTGCGTGTGTGTGTGAGCACATACGGGGGAGAACATGGTCACACACCGATGAGTAAACCCACTAATCTACTTTTAGTCACTCAGTGTAATCATTAGATCGTCAAGGAATCATTGTGCTGTCAAAAAGAGGATTCAATTATTTATGAATAGGGTGTGTAAATAAAATAGTCATTTAATATATAGTCTTGTCACTTTTTTTTATATATACCAGAGGGTCTCTTGGGGGGGGTAGTGCTTGCCTGCTGGTTTCATTCCCAGAGCAAGGTGTGTCTCCTTGGGGCTTGCTGCTGTGACAGGAACTGGGCAGGGGAGAGGAGCGGGGTCCCAGCTCAGGCCCTCAGCAGGTTCTGCTCTGGGAATGGGGCTGAGGCGGTGGAGGAGCACTGCTTGGCCAGAGGGGTTTTCTTTGTTTGCCCCCTGAGAGTCGACCTGTAGGAAGGTACAGCCAAACCCTGCGTCCAGGCTCACCGAGCTGCCAGTGGCAGCCAATGGTAAGTCTGTGTTAACCCCTCAGGTCCACAGCCGCTAGCAATCCCCGTTATCTAGTCAGTGCCACTCTGTGAGGTATTTAACATGTGGGGAAAGGGAGGCTCAGAGAGGGACAGTAATTTGGCCAAGGTCACACAGCTTATAAGCAGCAGAACAGGCTCCACGGCTGATGCGCTTCCATTGGCTGTGTGGTCTCGCGGCCACCCTGCTCCTGGGGGAGGGCAGAATCCTGACCTTTCAGGACACAGAGGGCCCCCTCGGTTGTCCATACTCTGCTTCCACACAGATGAAAACACCTGCACTCGCCCAAGCTCTGTCTTGCCCCTGTCCTCGACAGGAGCAGGGGTTCTTTCCATACGTTCAGGGCAGACCCTAAGAAGTCTGTGAGTTACTCAGTTTCCTGCTTTCCCACGCACCCAGCAGCAGGACAGGTGTGACTGCCATCTGCTGAGTGAGGTGCCAGGGACCCAGCTCCGGCAAGGGCTCCGGAGCCTTCACCGGCTCTCATCCTCCTGCCTCAGTGGACTGGAAGTCTGGTGGCTGTGGTCCCCAGAACACATGGAAAGAGCACGAGGGGCCAAGTTTGAGCCTCACCAGCAGGTCTAGACATTCAGCACTGCCTGTGTCTTTAGGGCTGGCTTAGAGATGGCTTGTTCCCTGTGCAGATGTGGAGACAGAGGCCCAGAGAAGGAAAGGCCTTGCCAAGGCCACCTGTCAAGTTGGGGCAGAGCAGGACTAAAAGCTGTGCCCCTTTAGGTGGCTGCTGTGGATTCCAGTGGTACGTGTCCAAAGCCGTTTCCTTGGCGATCTGCCTCCCGCGTCCTTGTCTGTCCACGCGGCCCCCGCCCTCGTGATTCTCACGCTGGCTGTGGCCCAGGTCTAGTCTCCACATAAGTCAATCCTGACCCTGTGCCCATTCTGCATTTTCTGAAGGGAAGGAGAATCGCTGGGGTGATTCGTGTTTGCTTTCTTTTGGGCTGGGGGTTGGGGATGAGAAAATGAGGGAGGAGTTGTCGCTTGTCCAAACAGAGGTGCCAGCAGAGTCGGGATCCAAGGAAGCCATGGGAGGCTGGGGTGTGGGAGGCCCCCGCTGTGCGGACATCCGCCCAGGGCCGGCCTGTGCTCCTAAGAGGCTGTGCCTGCGGGCTGAGCACAAGCCGGCCTGCTCTGCCCTCTGGCCTTTGCTTCCTCGAGGGATTCCCGGGACCCTCCCTCCGACCCCTGCCCCCATCTCCCTGCAGTCGCCCGGGAGGCCCACCCGTTCCCCCGAGGGACCCAGGCGGGCAGAGGAGCCAGCTTACAGGATGGGAGCTGCTAAAAGGAGTTTTTTTCCTTCACTTTACGAACCTCTCCCTCTTCTTCCTCTGATTGTGACTGTTTCCTCTGTCAGCGTGTATTCATGTTTTCTTGGACATCTAACAATTGAAACAGCTTTTCCCTTTCAGAAACACTCACATGCAGGTTACTGGCTTTTTGTTTTGGCTTTTTTTTTTTTTCATCTGCTGCCAATTAATGGGGGAAAAAACTGAGCTGGATTTCTTTGAGGGGAACAAAGCTCCCTGCCACACAATGCCTCGCCCTGGGCATTTCGTCTCAGGACACAACCTCCAGCTTGGAGCCACAGCGCGGTTTTTCCTTTCTGTCCCTTTGCTGGCTCCATTGTTGGCCATGACGCCTGGACCACTTCAGCAGCTCTGTCCTTGAGCACTGAGGAGTCAAGGGCCCTTGTGGCAGAGCAAGATGGCGCCAAAGGAAGAAAGGCGCCTTGTGGGGAAGAGGGCCCACCTGCCTGCCAGTCCTGAGGCCCTCAAGTCGGAAGAGCCGCCCGGGCTGGCCCCGCTCCTGGGGAGAGGCTCACAGAGCAGCCCTGCAGGGACGTCGTGCCGAGGCCGCGCCTGCGGGAAGCCGGCCTGTCCCCGCTGCAGCCCACAGCGCTCTGCTTCCAGCGGTCACAGGACCGCAGGCGTCCTTTTTGAGATTTGGAACACCAAGTTCTGGCGGCTCTTGAGACAACCTCTAGGAAGTGGTTGATGGCACCTGACCAGGAGCCTGGCAGGATGGGCAGCCGGGCTCGCCACTTGCTCTCGCAGGCCCTAGGGACAGTGCACGCACACACCCAGCCGGCGGCGCAGGCTGGCACTTGGAGCCGGCCTAAGGATGCCCGGGAAGGGTCCAGGCTGAATCAGGCAGTGGTCCAGCAAACTGCCACATCTACCTCTTCAGCCGCCCGGAATTGGTGACCAGCAAAGACCAAATCCAGAACCCCATAGGAGGGCCGGCCCGGTGGCGCACTGGATAGTGCGCCGCTTGGGAAGCGCGGCGGCACTCCCGTCCGAGGGTTCGGATCCCACGTACAGACCGGCTCCCGCTCACTGGCTGAGCGAGGCGCGGGAGCAACGCCGAGGCTTGCGATCCCGTCGCCGGTCCCCGGTCCGGTACGGGGGCAACACTGAGGGTTGCGATCCGTTGCCGGACACGGAAAAAAAGCAAAAAAAAAAAAAAACATAACAGAACCCCATAGGAACCTGCTGGCAGGTGCCCTCAGGACACGGCAGCCTCAGCCTCCATCCCCCTTGTTGGGGCCGTGTGTGTCACTGCCTGTACCCGCCACCTACTGCTAAAAAGTGTCCTGTAAAGCTCCAGTTATGTGTGATTTGCTGTATAATGATGTATATTTAATGTGAAGCTTTTAATACACCAGCGTATTGTTTAAGTGTACCTCCTTGGGCAGGCATGTTTTATTTGTTCAGAATGCAATCGTGTGCCCCAGAATCTGGTTGGATTGCTTCTGCTTGCAAAGGCTGAGCTTCCCCCATCATCCCCCAGAGGTGGATTGTGACAGGAAAAAAGGAAACTTCCTGCTTCCTAATTACAAAGAGCATAGAGCCCCAGTGAGCTCGTTAAGTGGAAACAGATTTGTTCAGGAGATCATTGAGTTCCTACTGGTCCTCAGGGCTGGTGGACACAGAGGTGAATGGGACCCAGCCCCTGCCCTCAAGAAGTTTCCAGGGTGGGAAATGGAAAAACAAGCCATTAGATGTAGAGCTGAGCCAAGGGAGCCTGCAGAGAGGGTGTTCCGGGCCAAAGTAACAGGTGGCAGGATCATCAGGGAGAGTTGAACAGGGCTTGGGCTGGCACAGCCTGCCTTGGTGGGAGATGGCGAGGATCCTGGGTCTCCAAGGGCTTCATCCTGTGGAGGCAGATGAGCAGGGCAGAGGTGGGGCATTTGTCACCTCGAGCTGCAAAGTCACTCTTGGTCTGCCTGAAGACTTTGGGAGGTGCTGGCCTCCTGTTTTCTAGGGAAGGCAAGTCCTTAAGGAGGGGAGGGCAGAGCACGTGTCTTGGCACACAATCTCCCATTGTTCACACTGACACCATCACCCCGATGACATCATGAGGCAGCCTCAGTTTACTGGGGCAGGGAGGGCGTGAGAGGGTCTGCCACCCAAGCTCCTCGCTCGCACGTAGATCACCTGAGGGGCTATAGGTTTCCCCAGCATGTCAGGGAGCCCACTCTGAAGTGCTTTCCAACACCACCACTCCCAGAGAACTCACCTGCCTCTCGTCCCTCCCTCCCTCCCAAGAACCGTGGCCTTCTGTCCCCCAGCAGGCCCCTTCCTCCCGCCCCCAGGACTCAGGCTTTGGTTCCCCTCTCCGCCCTCCCCTCCCACAATCCAATGACTCAGAATCCACACCTGACTCCAGGCCCTTCAGAAAACCACCCCCACCCCCACACCCACACCCACTTGTGCTCAGGGAGGGTGCGTGGTCCTGGGGACAGAAAACGTCCCTGGGCTCAACCAGGACCAGGGGCCACAGGTATTGTCAGTGCTCTCCTCCAGAAATTTCTTGAAGAGAAGGAGAAAAGGTCACCTGTAGACCCTGTTTTACATTTGGGGGAGTTTTTTCTCTTTCAGTTCAATTTAATGAACATTACACATGAAGAGGGAAGAACTGGTAACCAGGAAGGGGAGCTGAGCACAGGAAACATCTTCCTCAGCCGGAGTCCACAGAAGGGGAGACAGCCAGAGGCCTTCGTCTCTGCACAGGGCCAGCAGGGCAGGCTGCAGACTGGGCTCAGAGAGGAACAGAGGCTTGCTCAAGGCCATGGGGCAAGTCTCCACATGCCTCAGGGTGCTTGAGGGTGGCCAGCTCAGAGTGACACCTTGGTCGGCGTAGCTCTGGAAAGACTGGGTTGGAGCTGGGGGGGGTCTTCTCGAAAGTTTATGAGCCGATTTTTTTCTCACTGGCTCCCGGAGCATCCCAGGCCTGCAGTGACTGATGCCATCTCTAGCTTTGGGAGACAGTTTTCAAAGAAACCATGGTCTGACCAGGTGGCAGAAAGTCACCAGTGTGGCTCTGGTGCCCTCGTGTGGTTCCCGTCAGCATTGCAGCCAGCCTCTAAGTCACCAGGGCCCAGAGAAGGAAGAGGCAGGCATGTAAACATAAACGGCAGGCAGTGCAAAGTGGTGGGTGGTGAGTGCTCTAGCAGAAGGGACAGAGGGAGTGGCATCTGAGCCCAGGCCTCACATGCGGGGAGTAGGGGCATCCTGGGCGGAGGGACTGCAAGAGCTGGGAGGCTCCCTCTGCTCCTAACTCAGGCTCTTTCCTCTGCATCCCGCTCTGCAGCCCCAGTAATTCATGCCAACTGAGAGGGAAGGTCGGGCCGAATTAGAACAGCTCAGTACGGAAC